TACCTTATTATGAAACTGCAGTGTCCAATCAGGAAGTATTAAATGAGTGTTTTCCTCTGAGGACATTTACTGTATTGCTACTTAATTTACATTATACGAGATGTGTATCTCCAGCTTTAACAAAACATACTCAGAAAACTCTCATTGCAAAATCAGGAGTTCTTACCCAGCTGGCCTGGCATCAGGGAAACAAACAGTGAGTTACATCACGTGTAGTTCACTTCTGTATTTGTTTTCTAGATGGTTCGGGAAGAGGGGAAAACTTCATTTCCGTACTCAAGCCAAGCCTCACATGTCGTGGCTCTGTCTCTCTGCGTGCATATTAAAGATCGATACGGTGGAAAAGTTGTACCTACACCTCGGTTGTTGTAGTGCCTACGGACCTTATCAGACTTGCTCATTGGACTTATACCTGCTATAATCTAGTCTGGTGTTTTCTATTTCAGTAGGTAATTTAGTACAAATAACTCATTTCGTGTTTTTCCCAGGAGCTATTGCTAAAGGGTTAGGCGTTAAATTTTTTTGTCTGTCTTAATTTATAAGTTAAAAATTTGGTTAGAAATGGGAGGTGGACAAGGTCAGAAGGAGAGCGAACCCTACACAGGAGGAGATACAATGCCTGAATAGTGAGCTCAGTACTATTTGTATTTTGTAACATTTCACTTTGGGTAAATGCTTTTTCACTGGTAATAAATGCATATCCTGTGTATGACCCTGAATTGCATTTTCATTTAAATTACCATACTCATTTACGCTTTAGAATTTATTCCAGAATTGTGGCTTATTTGACTATTTTAGCTGTAAAAAAGAAATCAGGACATGAAAAATAATGGCATAGCAACTATCCAGAGATTTATTAAACTTGAGACCATTTTCCTTACAGCGCAGGCTTGTTCTGCTATTTCTTAGTTGTATCCACCTTATATACTATGTGGAGAACAGTCTCATATTTACTCAGAATTAGACTGGCATGTTTCTGGCTTATTGCTAAACTTTCTTTAATATAAGCAGGTCACTCTTCATCTGTCAAAGAAACAATTGGCTCTGGATTTTATTTATTTCACCGTGCAAATGTGGTTACCCAGGCACCTCGCCGGGAAGAGCCAGCATTTCCTGTTGTGCCAGCTGCACAGCTCTGATCGTCACTCCCTGTTTTCACGTGGCTGGCTCTTTCCTCACATTGGGGTTTCCAGTAAGGCACAGAGGGCAGTCCTTTACTTACAAATGAATGATTTGTATATAAAAAGAGTTTTAATCATCTTACCCATTCATTTTATCTGTCCAGTCTCAAATATCCATAACAAAAGCTTTGGGCCAGCAGTTGACAGAAAGCTGTTGCCTTGAGAACTGACCCCAACATAAAGTTTCAGTACCACAGAGTTCACTCTTATGTAATGTTCTTTCATTAAGACTTTCTACATGTGATTAATTTAAAATAAATGATAGTTGTAAACATTGTCATACTGCACGAGCTCCTCACCTTTAATGAACTGCATCTCCCACCGTATAGCAGCCCGTTGAAGGCCGGCTGGTGATCGGATGACGTCACGAAAGGGCTTTGAAAATAGAACGAGCTGCACCAGGTCACTGTAGCAGTGCTCAGTGTTTGCGTGAATCCTCTCAGTGAGACTGGACACAGACATTGCTGCTTCACCTGCTAGGCGTTCAGTATTTTCCTGGAAGGGAAGCATGGGCGTCTGTCCAGCGGAAGAGTATTCGTGTAAATGCTCTGACGGTGAGTGCTGCACATGTGTATACCACGCATCACACGTGTATCTGTGCTGGAGAAAAGAAGGGGTCTGCCAGAGCCCACGCTTGCCTCTGTATTTTTTACGTAACCAACATTCTTCTCTAACATGTCCTGGCTCTGTATGCTTTTGTAATTGTCCCCTTTTTACCGAAGGGGGAAGTCTCAAGAACACTCATTAGAGTGGATCTTAGATGTGGAGTTCTCCCCAGTTTCACTTTTACCACTTTAGTTATCATCTGTTTTATTTTCTCTCCTTTTTCATTCTTTGTGTCCCCACACACCCCCAAAATGTTTGACAGAGATAGAGTAATGGAGTTAAATTAAGCTACAAAATTCATATTTGAAACAGCTTTTTTGATTATATCATTGTTTCACTGCGGACTGTGTCACATAAGACTGCCCCTTGTCTTTATATTCCGCTCCCGCCAGTTGTCAAATTGAGGATGTATCGGTGTTCAGCAGGTTAATTTCTAATAACCCTTTTCTGTGGTCTGCCATTGAATTGTTTTATTTGAGTAACATTTCTGGTAATAGCTAGAAAAGTGAGGCATATTTCAGAATGTCAGTGTTTTCTAATGTGGTGTCAGTGGTTATCTAATGTTACCAGACTTGCACCTAGAAAATTTCTGTCCCTTCTGCTAGGTTGTCAGGACTCAAGCTCAGCCTATAAAACACTGTGGGCTGCAGCTTTTCTTTGTATAAATATTAGCATTCGTTTTAGTACATCGGAGCCCTTTAGCTTACAGTTCTTTCACAGACACTATTTGGGCAGTATTGTCATAAAGCACTGAGAGTATCATTACTCAGTTGGAGACGTGATGCCCAGGACATACTGACGCAGGCCTGGCCAGGAGGCTTGCTTGGCTGGAACATTATTCCATGCACTAAAAAGGGGGCAGATGACCCCCTGTTGGGGCGTATACAGGAGGCACCTGACAATGTTTCTCACATCAGTGTTTCTCTCTTCCCCTCCTTCCTTCCCTTTCCACCCTCCCTCCCTAAAATCAATAAAACATCCTCAGGTGAGGATTTACAGAAAAACACATAGTGATGCTATTTAACCCCTTTGGTTCCTCATTTTCCTATCTGCAAAAAGAACTGGCCTGGGTCCAAGGATGCTTTTAGTATTTACATTTTATCAAATGGTAATTAGCTGTATCTTTCAAAGGAAGATTTACAAAGAATTAAAAACGGAAATCAGTGAGTAAGCATTTATACAAATAATTATCAGTGTTTATTGAAGTCACTAAACAAGGAAGTGCTGAAAATCAAGTCTCTTTCATGACAAAATTGGATTAGGATTAAATTGTAAGGATTGGTGTGACCTCAACTTTGGTCAGTCATCTCATGATTTGCAAGGCTCTGGCCCTTCCTGTGGCCCGTGGCACAGCCTAGAAAAAAATGGGCCTTGTTACTTTTCACTAGAGGCCCTTCTGGGGCGTGTTCCTCGTCCACACCGCGTGGCATGGGAGAAGGGTGCTCTTCATAGAGGGACACTTTTATTCTGTTGTCTCTAGGCCAGTGATTTTCAACCTGTGTACCACAATTTTTAAAACGTGAAATACCTGACTAGGGTGGTATTAGTTTGTACTTTGCTTTTCCCTTGGACTGTCAGATCGAAAAATTACAACAGCCAGCACAATAGCCATTTGGTCTGAAGGCCCTGTCTTTGAACCATAAATATATAGGTCATATAATACAGCTGCATCTTATTGGTCACGGTGCATAATAAGGTTGCATCTTACTGGTTAATTTTAGGTACACAGAAATACACAAGTGTGGACACCTAATCTTTAAAAGTCACTATGGAGCAAAAAGGGTAGGTAATTACTGTTACCATATTTTAAATCAATCAAAACTGTATTTCTTTGTCAGATTTGGTGAAAAATAAATTTTTTGGTGTGCTGCAGAACTATAGCAATTAGTTGAAGTGTGCCATTAGGTGAAAAAGGTTGAAAAGCACTGCTCTAGGCTTTGTAAAACCTTCACAACAGCCCCATCCGTAGCCTTAAATGTTGTTTTAACGTAGTCTTCCAACCTTGAAATCCTAGAATATCTCTATGGTGAGATTTGAGACATTTATATGACACTATATTCATACTCTGTTCCGAGTTAAACGCTGGAATTCCTCGAGGTTTAACCTGGGGCTCAGTCGGAGGAGAAGCTGCCTTTCAGCACCTGCACTTGGGCCGCTAACTGGGCCAAGAAGTGGTAAGGATGAGTCACGAAAATTGTAGCCGTTCATACGCTGAACAACCCACTTACATAACTTTTGTCATTCAACTTGGACATGTTTGGCTTTGATTTTTCCGCGATAACGCCCACCCTCAGACAAACACGTAGGCATACACGCAGTCAGCGTACAAGACTGCTGTCAATGCTTCCAGTGACTTTATTCAGTGTTGTGCATCCAGCCGACACGGAAGGGAAGTGGATACAGCCACGCCCGGCTGGCAGGCATTTCACAGTTCATTGCGAGAGATGGGAAAGTTAACAAGTTCTGTTAGTATTTTTCATAAATGTATTTATTGATTTCTGAAAAACATTTTTAGTAACTGAACTTAAGTTTTTAAAAAATACATACTGATCAGAAGAAAAACTGAAATGGGTGATGTGTAGGAAAGTTTCAGACAAGTGGGTTTGCCTCTCATTCTCCACAAGCCTGGCCTGTTCACTGCACTCACGGAACCTGGGGTGTGGATTTGGGAGCTAACTTCCCGGGTTTTGGGGAGGTAGGGTGCTTCTGGAAAAGGAAACACGTCTGCTCTGTGTGTCAAACACTGCCCTGTGTGCTGACCGCTTCAAGGACCCCTGGGAGCGCTGCCACTCAGAGTCAGGCCCAGGGACTGCTCATTCAGAAATTACACAACTGAATGTCTCGCCTCCCTCCCGTCAAAGTGGGTGAAATGATATTGCTGTCACAGCAAAGACAATCGCATAGAAAAATTTACAAATATTAAAGTGAAAAACAATGTGGACTGTCTACTGTAACTATTATATAGCTGTACAGAATTCAGTGCCCACAGAGACTGCTTTATTCCATGGACGTGGGTCCCACAATTGATTACCCATCCCCATCCCCAAATGTCGAAATGAAACTCAACAAATTCTAAATGGTGGTTGTACCTCACGTGAGAGCAGTCGACTGTTCCTGCACAAACAGCCTGCAAAGTGTAAACATATCAAGACAGACAAGCTCGTGCCTTAGGCCCTGCCCTGGGTCTCGGCTGCTGGCCAAAGGGCGGGCGGCTGCACAGGCCGGCCACGCGAGAGCCCCCCAGCATCACAGCACGTTGTGTAGGCCAGGTGGGTGCTCACCACCCGATACAGGGGTCTGGGCAGTCCCGCAGGTAAGTTTCAAATTGACCTTTGGTGACGTCCATCAGGGTTGTGAACACCGTCAGCTGAAACAACAGTTAGTTTTACTTTAAGGGTGTTTTCAATTCCAAGATGTCCTCTAATTCATACTAACGTTTTTCGTGGAACTGCTTTATGAAGTTACCTGATACTAAATAATGTATAATAATACGTTGTGAAAACAGAATAAATGCTATATAAAAGATCCAAGTAACTAATAAGTTAATGATAAAAACAGTTGGTTTCAGTAGACTGTTATTCCCGGTTGAACATATAAATAGGCCTGGGAGAGAACCCTGAGTTCTTCCAAGTCTCACTGCAGAGCAGCACCCTGCTCCACCACCGGTGCCGTGAGACGGACTGGACCTCCCATTTGGGATTTGCAGTCACGCAAAGCTTAGCGCGAGTGGAATAGGAACAGTTTAGCTTTGGCTGTCCTCATCCTTAAAGCACATACAGTGGGGACACTACACAGGCACGCACATTAGAAGGCACACAGAATCTAACCACTGTGAGCTCCCACGAATGGGGTGTGGACAAAGCAAGTGTGGCAGGGTCAGCGGGCGTAAGGAAGGCTTCCTGCGGGAGCCAGGCTCCCATCCGAATGCTCCCAGCAGGAGGAGTGTGTTGTCAGAGGTAAGGGGGGCAGGGCATGCTGACGCTGGGGAGGGGGAGGGTTAGGGGACGGGAACCAAGGGGAAAACCTGCTGTGTGCATCCAGAATACACAGTGGGGGGGGGGGGCTATTAGCAAACTGGATGCCTAGGAAGTTTGTTGCACTTTTCTAGCTATACTGTTAGAAAAAGATAAAAGATGTATGTAATAAAGGGAAACCCTAATCCACCAAGACACAAAGCTCTGTTTTGCAGGGGGTTAAGTTTTAGGTGTTGGTAGTGTACAGCGTAAGATTCCCTGATTAGGAGAAGTTAAAACTAAATGCTATACTTAATTCAGTGCCATGTAAGTAAACTTGGAGCAATACTCTGATCAAACTGGATACCCAAGCCACAGTGGTCAGTTTGTCACATCCCAGCAGTTACTATTTTGGTCACATAAAAACATTTTAAAAAATCAGCCTTAAGCTAAACATGACCTATGATTCTAGCTCTGATTTCTCCCAAGATAACGGGGGGGCGGGGGAGGGATAAAACACAGGACAGAGTTATACATGTATATATTTTTAAGCCATGGCCAGGAGCTCAGTGGGTAGAGATTATCCCAATGTGCCAAGGTTGCAGGTTGGATCGCCGGTCAGGGCACATACAAGAATCAACCAATGAATGCGTACGTAAGTGGAGGAGCAGTTTGATGTCGATGTCTCTGTCTGTCTCCCTCCTTCCGTCCATCTGTTCCTCCCTCCCTCCCCTTCTCTCTCTCCAATCAGTCAATCCATAAAAACTCTACATACCTTGTTGAGGACAGGTTTTGTTGACAGGATATCATACATGGTTGGTAATGAGATATTCTAAAACACAAAATAGTTTGTTCAGCACGTTAAATACAGATATCAACAGCCTTATTCACACAAATGGGTCAGAAGCCAAGACGTTCTTCCATCGACCTGCCTCCAACTCCCTAAATGAATTTCCCTTGGGGTCACTGTCAGAAGCAGAAGTAATGGTTCTCATGTATCGCTTTTTCTTTCTGACTCTTCCTCCCCTTTTAATTCTTGCCTGTTTGTCATTCAACTTCACCGAGTGGTGTTCAGAATTAAAAAAAGGTAAGTACAGCAAAATTTAGCTCTTTAAAAACGAAACAAAAACTCAGTGGGACTTTCTCTTGATACTGGATAGGATGAGGTTTATCAATTCCATAGAAGCCAACGAAAAATGCCAGAACTGACGAAATCTTTAACATCACCATTTCTTGTGTTACTTACGTCTTGTGTCGTATGGTTGAGACACATCTTGGCAGCTCCTCTGCGATCATCAAGGAAGAAGGGATTTTTCCAACGGTCATAATTAGTTTCCACCACATACCACCTACCCTGCTCGGGGTCGAGTCTAAACAGAAAAAGAGAGACTCCTCTCAGGCTCACGCCTCGCACCTGTACCCACGTCAGTCCGAGCCACAGTTCCTGTTCGGCTGGAACGCAGACACTTACTCGTGCACGTCCAGAGACTTTGTCCTGTCCCGTGTGATCACACAGCCCTCCCCCGTCTCATTGCCTCCCAGGATGAAGTACGCTGGGGCCAGTATCTTCGTTTTGATCAGTATATTCCTGGCTTCTTCATAACTACATAAAGACATTTTTTAAAAAGCAAAAATTTTTAGTTGACACGGCATCAAAGATTTTTCACTATGGATGCTAAGTGAAAACAAATATTTGAGGAACACGTTCTTTAAAAAAGGATGGTCTGCAATGGCTCAGGAGGGCAGCTCCAACTCGGACGTGGCAGGACACCCACCCAAAATGTCCCCTCCGGTCTGAGGGGCACAACAGCCTCAGGGGGTCTCCCACCCTTACTGTGTGTGCCTTTCACTCAACAACAGAACCAAGGGGAACAGTACTATTACCATAGAGGGGACTTAAGGCGTAGAGAGTAAACCTTAAAAATGGGGGCTATTAATAAGTGAAGTGGGTTTGCAAAAAAGTACTATTCTCATTCCCTGGAAGGCATTAAAAGTAGAACTGTCAATTTATTCTAAGTCATTTTGACGTAGTGCTGGCTACAGGCCATTTTGCTATTATAAGATTTCTGCATAGAATATAACTTCTAGGTTAACAGGCATTATGATTTAAATGAACATTGTACAATTTTTATTTTATGTATGGGCTTTTTCTTGTCATAGTGGCATTGTCTCTTACATTTTTTAAACAATTCAATTCCTTCCTATAAACACACACACCACACGTAAATGAAGAATTCCATATGAGGGTCACCTCAGAAACTGAAATAATTCTTCAATGGAAGATAACCTGGAAAATTCTTTATATTTCAATATGAGTAATTTAAAATAAAATACAACACACTCAAAGGATCATACACCATGGTCAAGTGGGATTTACCCCAGGGAGGCAGGGATGGTTCAACAACCACAAAGCAATGTGATACACCACATTAACAAAATGAAGAGGAAAAACTGTGTGACAATCTCAACAGATGCGGAGAAAGCATCTGACAATTTCCAACATGCACTGACGATTAGAAACCGCACAGTCTGGGTACAGAGGGGACGTGCCTCAACACCACGAAGGCCACGTGTCGAAGCTCACAGCTAACGTTCATGGTGAGAAGCCAAATGCTTTTCTTCTAAGATTAGGAACAAGATGGCGATGCCCACGGTTACCATTTTCATTCAGTATTCTTTTTACGGTACTAGACAAAGCGATCATGCATGAAAAACAAAAGGCATCCAAATCAGAAAGGAAGAAGTAAAACTTGCTATTCACAGATGACATAATACTATGTATAGAAAATTGGAAGACTTCACACACACACAAACTGTTAGAACTAATAGATTCGGGAAAGTTGCAGGATAAAATTAACAAAAATCAGTAGCTATGCACTAATAACGAGCTCTGAGAAGGGAATTAAAAGAACTGCATCAAAAAGAGCAAAATACCAAGGAATAAGCTTACTCCAAAAGGTGGAATACCTGCACACTGAAAAATATAAGACATTGGTGAAAGAAATGGAAGATAACAATAAATGGATTGATATTCCATGTTCATGGACTGAGGAATTAATATTGTTAAGATGTCCATACTACCCAAAGCAATCTACAAATTCAATCTACAGAATCACTTTGCAATATATACAAATAACAAAACCTTTGCAATATATACAAATAACAATACTTTAAATTAATGTTATGCATCAATTACATAAAGTAGAATAAATATTAAATTTTATGGTAAAGCAGCCAGATTACCTTGTGCTATTTTCCAGGACTGATCTAGTGATAAAGCCTATCCACATGGCGTCTTTCTTCCCCAAAATCCACTCTATGACACCTGGGAGGGAGCAGACACACACAGGGTCACAAGGCCTGGAATGGGGGAGACTCTGAACCGCAAGGCAGAGCCAGCTCTCCTCTCAAAATGCCTATGAAATCTCCATTTCATTTAACAACTATCTACTCACCCATATAACCGCCATTTGTACTGAAACGCTCATTTAGTGTAAGACTGAACAGTCCCTGAGAAAAAGAAAGGAGTGAAGTCAGAAACCGAGATCACCCCGTGCAAGGCCCTCTCGCCAAACTCTGTATGGTCGATTGAGACCTAGACTGGGACGTATGGAATGCAGTGACTAATCAAAACCATGATGATATCATGTGTTATTAACAGAACTGTTTTAGAAGTTCAAAGCACTTTCACCCATTGTGTGTGAGGTAAGTAGATGTGATGTTACTGGCCTCCCTTTTCTAACGAAGAATCTGCAGTGCAGAGAATTCATGCCTAAGGTGCCTGAGTGGCAGACCCGGGACAGATTCCAGGTGGCCATTCCCCAGTCCCGACACCCAGCCACACACTTTGCCCCCAGAATGGGCTCAGGAGCCTTCATTTCCTTTCTACTTCTCTCTACCATGTGAGCTCACTCTCGCAAAGGTGACAAGAAGTGCAAACGGGTGAGCAGGGGCTTGTATTCTTTTTAGATCCTCAGATCCACCCTTCACAGAGAGGAAAAGCAGGATGCAGAGCTACCTGTAACGTTACGTTACGGGACATTCCTTACTGGTTTGAATCCTGTTAACATGCCCACATAGCCAGCAAAGCTTGCCGCCTTGAAGACAGTTTTGTTGTTTCTCTGGAAGTCCAAGTTCACTGTTAAAGGTTTTAGCGCCTCGGTTACAACCCAGGTGTTATTATTTATATTCCACCTATAAAAGACAAATTTCAGTGACATTTCAGAACAATGATGATAATGATGAATATAATGATGATGCCCATGCTTTATACCAGGTACTTTATCTACTCCCTAATGATCAACCCTAACAAGAACTTTTCATCAGAGGAGAGGGGGCTGGGGGGAAAGGGACTGAACACAAAAACAAAAAAAACAACCACAACTCGGGTACTTTTCCCTCTGGTAATCATGGTGATTACCAGGAGGGAGACGGGATGGGGGGGGTAGAAGAGGGTATGGAGGATACATGGTGATGGGAGGAGACTTGACTTGGGGTGATGGACACACAATATAATACACAGATAATGTATTATAGAATTGCACACCTGAAACCTATGTAATTTTATTAACCAATGGCACCCCAATCAATTCAATATAAAAAAGAACTTCGCCATATACGGGTTTTGTCCTCCACGCTCCTCCATATGACGAAACTGAAGCCCGGAGAGGCTGAGTAGTTCTCCCAATAAAACAGCCTACAAACTGTAAGCCCAGATTCAAATTTAGTCCCTCACTGTAAAGCATTTTTTCCAGAAAGATTGAGACATAAAACAGAAAGCTATTCTTCCTTTTTTAGAGATTTTTAAAAGATTTTACTTATTTATGTTTAGAGAGGGAGAAAGAAAGGGAGAGAAACATCAGTGTGTGGTTGCCTTTCATGTGCCCCTCCCACTGGGGACCTGGCCTGCAAACCAGGCCTGTGCCCTTACCAGGAATCAAACTGGTGACCCTTTGCTTCGCAGGCTGGCATTCACTCCTGAGCTATACTAGCCAGAGCTATTCCTCCTTTTTAACAATAAACTGGACGTGCATCTGGGCCTTCAAGCATGTTCCAGATCTCTGTTCACTAGGTACCACTCAGGTACAAACTCACCAACAACTGAGTAAGAGTGTGCCCATCTTGTCCCAAAACTAAGGAACCCACGCCCTTCCCTTGTGGTCACACTTGGAGTATGACTTGGGACTTTTCATCAGTGTTATACAATCTACTCTTCTTAAGGACTGATACACACCACTCTCTTTACTTACCCAAGAAATATTCCAAAATCCATGTTCCGCCCGTGTATTAAATGACCTAATTGAAAGAAAGCAAAAGAAACACGTAGAAGCAGTTATGACAGTACGATGGACCTGAAAACTGGACGCTTCATTTTGGTTCACTGATATTCACAACTGTTAAATCCAACAAGAAGAATTAAGCAGCATCTTGATACTGTAAGTATTAAGATCAAACTGTTCTCCTTGTCACATTGGCCAGATCCCCCCATAATCCCCGAGAACACAGGGTTCCAGGTAAGGTTAGAATATGGGGAAAGGATCAGTGGTCATTCTTTGGTCCACTGGGACACTGTCCTGCCCGGACACAGTTACGTTATTGTCACCTAATGTGACTTGCCAAGATCCTTCAGGCATTGCTACCCATAGCCGGACACCTCAAGGGTGAGGTACGGGCAGACTTAATAACAAAGCACAGGTCAAAAATAAGAGTGACTCAGGCTAAATCATCCTGTGCTTTGTACTCTGGGGACCTGCCAGGAAAAACACAGAAGGTCGAGGGTGGTCCACCCGGGGGCTGTTGGCTGATGGATGATCTGTCCTGGGCTTCAAGGGAAGTCTGGGACCATCACAGTTACGAAGATTGTTACACATCCTGCGAGTACTTAGATCAGATCCCGAAGGTGAATATGAGTGGACCATGAGGAAGGGCAAGCATGTTAATAGTCCTGAAACACTTCTTCCAAGTCGTTTGCATGCCTGAATTGAATAGGCATCGCAGTGGCCTTAAAATAAGGACAGTTTTCAGTTTGCCTTTAAAAATGCACCGAAATCCATAAAACTGTGTGCAACACACACAAAATTCACAAAGCAAACAGAGATGTTACAAGTCCTAATTCCATCAGCACCCTTACCTTTTTTGTCCTCTGCTATTATCGAAGTACAAATGGTGAAAAACTCATAGAAAATGTTGAATGAAATAATCTCTCCTATGAGAAAAGACAATTTTTTTCGTTAATATAGAGAACCATAACATTATTAGAAACTTCTTTTTCTTTCTTTTTTTTAAAAAGATTTTATTTATTCATCTTTAGAGGGGAAGGGAAGGAGCGAGGGAAAGAAATATGAAGGTATGGTTGCCTCTACCGGGGACACACAATGTATCACGTGTTCCCTGCCAGGAACTGGCCTGCAACCCAAGCAGTGCCCTGACTGGGAATCGAATTGCGATCCTCTGGTTTTCAGGCCTGCACGCTCAGTCCACTGAGCTACACCAGCCAGGGCACAGAAACTTCTTTTTCAAGAAAGGGCTGAGCTCTCCTCCCCATGTGCGTTTCTGCTCTGGCAGGCCGGTCCGAACGTGCCTGCACGGCTGGCTGACTGACAGTCTCACCAGCCTGTGCACTGCAGATGGATGACAAGACTAGTCCCCAAAGGGGCCCCCCAAAGGGGGACCCACTGGGCAAGCTGAGCATCTGGGCATGGGGGAACTCTATTACACCATAACATCCACATTTTTTCACCCATATGCTTCCTTTTAGTTTTCTTTTGAGACTCAACTACAAAACTTTAATGCGTCTGGCTTTTGGTTGCATACTGAGAAGTATTTTGCCTAGATTTTTAGAGTGTACCAATATTCGAAGCTGAGAAAAGAAATACAGGAAGTATTAATAAGTGCAGAGCTTACGAAGAAAGTTCATTGTAAAACATTTTAATTTTTGTATATTCTTCCAAAACTGTGTAGTAACAATAATACCATTTAGCATTTCATAATTCAGTGATATACATTTTCACTGTTCCAATTTACGTTAATATATTAGGCTTAACATTTTTCTCACCCCAATTTAATGTGGGATTTTTTTCCATTTGATTTCTGTTTTGGTGAAATTCCACTCTTACTTTCTTTTATTATGAATCATTGGTCAATCTTTTTATTCTGTTTTTCTCTTGAGATATTTATGTGATATTCATTTGCTAGAGTTTTTTACATAATAAAGAAATTAAAGACTTACTTCTCATACAAATGTATATTTTCCATATGTTAATTATCTTTGTGGATCATTTTTGAGAACCTCCCTTTAAATCATTTTTTGAAGAAGCAAAACCAAAAAACAAATCTAGCCATTTTTGTTGATAAATACTATTGATTTCTAGAAATTCTCAATCATCTCTCTTGTAAAACCAGGGCATACAGGCCACTTAAAATATCTCTATTGTTCGGTGGCATAAAAAGAAAACTTTTGGGGTGGCAGAAAAAGTCTGTTTCATTCAATACTATTGGTTGGAAACAAAAATTTAAAAACAGCTTCCAAAAACATCGGTACCTAAGAACACTATGATATGAAGACTATGAGAAACACTATGGGGAAGGATATATGGATGAGTAATACGCAAGACATCCTCTCTAAAGATTAAAAATGCAGCTCAGAAAAACCCATAACCTATCAATACTGAAATTTCATACATGATGTTCACAGACTGGAAGACTCGGTATTCCAATCCCACCCAAAATGTCAGCTGGCTATTTTGTCAAAGTTGACAGGCTGAGTCTAAAATTCATATGGAAATGCAAAGGGTGTAGAATGGTGAAAAGAACTCTGATGAAAAATAAAGTTGGAAAACTTACACTACATACTTTAAGACTTACTATAAAGCTTTAGTGCCTGCAGTGGCATGGTACTGGTATAAGTAAGACAAATAGATAAATGAAACTTCACAGAAAGTCCACAACCTGAGTTAGATGTATACAATCACCTGATTGCCATCAAGAGCATGAGTGCAATCCACTGAGGGAAGGCTGGTCGTTCCAAGAAATATTGTGGACTCCACTGGAGGGACAGTCCACATGGAAAAACCTGAAACTTGGCCCTTCACTCCTGCCATACCCAAAGTTAATTCACAGTAGATTATGTAACGAGTAAATGAAAAACATGTAGAAGTGAGGATATTTTCATGACCTCGGCACATGCAAAGATTTCTTAAATGGACACAAAAAGCACTATCCCTAAAAAAAATGAGGAAATGAACTTTATTAAAATTAAGAATTTTTGTTCATCAAAAGACACCAATAAGAGAATTTAATAAGAGAATTAATAACAGAATAAAAGTTCCCACTGGGAACTGGCCTGCAACCCAGGCATGTGCCCTCACTGGGAATCGAACTGTGATCCTCTCGTTTGCAGGCCCGCGCTCAATCCACTGAGCTACACCAGCTAGGGCTGGAATACATATTTCTGACAAAAAAACTTTTATTCAGAATATATTAAAAAATTCTAAAAAGAAAAAGAATTTCTTCAAATGGATAAGATATGGAGATATCTCGTCTGCATAAGACTTTAGCACAAAGAAGGAAGGGTCGATAAATTGTTCGTTCTCATCAGCCATCAGGGAAATGCAAAGGAGACAATAATGGAATACTATAACACACTCAATAAAATGGCTCAAATAAAAAAGACTATCAAGTAGAAAAGAATCAAGTGGAGAAAATTAGAACTCGGATACTTTGCTGACGGCCAATGGACACAACCACGTTGGAAGACTGGTCGGCAGAATCTACCAGGGTAAACATGCAGCTACCCTGTCACCCAGTACATGGGGGGACCCCCCAAAACCACTGGGATTATCTTCTGGATGGCGGGTCCCTTGTAGGACAGGCTTCCCTGGCCAGGTGAGTGTTCTAGGGATCCATCTGTATCAGTGTGCCAGCTGGTGTCATTGTGAGAGGCTGTGTTCAGCTTCCAGGAGTTTTTTTCAAGACTCTTTCAACACATTTGCCCATTTCGTGATGAGTGATTTACGAGTGCACCTGCCCACAACGCACTGAGTGTTCAGCAACTTTTGACCGAAAATGGCATGACCCCCATGCCCCACTCTCCCTATTCACTTGATCTGACTATGAGCAACTTTTTATTTGTTTTCCCAGATGAAAAACACCCTCAAAGGGAAACATTTTGTCAATGTGGAAGAGGTGAAACAAAAATGGCACAAGCCCTAAAAGGCATCAAAATCGACACGTTCAAAAACTGGTTTGAGCAGCAGAAAAAATGTCTTGATTGGTCTATTACATCAAATAGAGAGTACTCTGAAGGTGACTGAAGTGTAAACATACAAGAACACAGCAATTTTTATAAATATATTGCATTTTGAGGGGTCTCCCTTGCACATCTGAGAGAAATGAATGCATAGGCCCATCAAGAGACGTATAAGAAAGTTCATACATGTTCATTCTTAACATCCAAAATCTGGGACAACGCCAATCTCCTGTTCACACAACAGGAATAAGAAAGCAGACAACAGCGCGTACAGCTCAGTTCCATCTGTAAACGTTCAAGGGGCAAAACTAATGGAGGTCAAGTCAGAACAGTGGCTACCTGGGGAGGCCGTACTGTCCACGAAGCAGTACAATGGAGCATTCTGGATGGCTGGAATTCTCTGTATGTTGATCTGAGTTGCAATTACATGCATGTAAGTATTTTAAAAATTCTATTGAGCTGTATCCTTAAGATCTGTGCACTTCACCGGATGTATAAAAATTGCAATAAAAAAATTGAAGTGCTTTATTAAACTGTTTAAAAGCTGAGAAGTGAACCTTACCTAAAGGTATGCCCGTAATATCGGCAATCCCCTTCATTTCCTCTTCATAGGGGCCAGGAAAGTTGCCGAGTAGACCAGGCTGGAAACCAAACAAATTAACAATCATTCAACCTCAAGCGCTACTTTCAGATCTGGTTCTTTTACACAGAATGTGTTCTAGAGACTGCTCCCCAATAGGCAATCTTATTTTTAAGACACTTCTACATCATGTATTTTTATTTATTTATTTATTTATTTATTTATTTATTTATTTTAAAGCTATTTTTTATTTTATTGATTAAGCCATTACATTTGTTCTATTTCCCCCCTCCGTTCCCCTCCATCCTGCACACCCCTCCCTCACCATTCCCCCCTTTTAGTTTTGGCTAATGTAATTATGTTGTGCCTTGGTGTGTTCCTTCTTGGGTCCAACTTCTTTGGGACTCTCTGAGCTTCCTGGATTTCCTGGAAGTCTATTTCCTTTGCCAGAATGGGGAAGTTCTCCTTTATTATTTGTTCAAATAAGGTTTCCACTAGTGGCTGTTCCTCTTCCCCTTCTGGTACCCCTATAATTAGGATGTTGGAGTGTTTAAAGATGTCCTGGAGGTTCCTAAGCCTCTCCTCATTTTTTTGAATTCTTGTTTCTTCATATTTTTCTTTCTTCATTTTTTCCTTTCTTCTGGTCTACTCCCTTGATTTGAGTCCCAGTTTCCTTTCCATTACTATTGGTTTCCTGTGTATTTCCCTTCATTTCAATTAGTTTAGCTTCCATATGTTCTTTTAATTTGTGACTAAAATCAACCAGTTCTGTGAGCATCCTGATCACCAGTGTTTTGAACTGTGCATCTGAAGGTTTGGCTATTTCTTCATCACTTAGATTTATCGGCTCTGGGGCTCTGAGTTGTTCTTGAGCCATGTTTTGATCTGTTTGTGCCTGTTACCTGTGAGAAGTGCCTTAGGTGTTCACCAGGGCGGGGCCACCCAGGTCGCTGGTTTGTGAAGCTGCATGTGGGGGCAGGGTCAGAGAGGGAGCAATGGCGGTCCTCTCCGCTTGCCCAGGCCTGTTTATCTGAGCACAAATGTGCAAGCCCGCCGCCCTGCACTGCACAGTCTCAATGCTCGCCTCTTCACTGGTTTATCTGCACGCAAATGCTTGACTGACTGCAGACAGCCAGCCACACCTCTTGCCCATAGCTAGCCCGCACCTGGGATCCGCGCCCTCGGCTGCCTGTGCACCGCCTAGGTCCCGCCTAGGTCCCGCCTAGGTCCCGCCTAGGTCCGGGATCTTCCCTCCCCAACCCGCTCTGCTGCTGGCTTCACCCCTCTTACCGGTTTAGCTGAGTGGTTCGTTGTTTTCGGACTCTGTATTGTCGATTTTCTGTGTGGTTTGGTTGCGTTTATTGTTGTTAAAACTTTGTTGTTTTTAGGTTTAGTTGTGGGAGATGCAAGGTGTTTCCACCTATGCCTCCATCTTGGTGGAAGTCCCCTACATCATGTATTTTTAAAAGATCTATGTAATCCTCGCTCTAACTCTTGCTTTTGTACCCTTACGCTCGTCTGTTCTCCGGCATTACGCAGAGATGTGTGCATCTCGGATCATTTCCATTTCACCCCCTCCCAGGACACTGGAGCAGTGGATGCCCTGCTGTGACCCATAACAGGAGCATCACAAGGAGCCGCCGTACCTCTCTACTCAAATCCACCCTTTAGCCAATGGCACTTCACCCTCATTACTGGTTTCCTTCCCACACACAGCAAAAACCTGTATGTAGTCATTCATGAAAACTTCTGTTTTGGTTAATATATGATCGTGGGCTAAGCTGCTATATGCATTCTGTTAGCAAATAGTAAACACATGAGCAATTTCAATGGCATTCATCATACTTCTATCCTTAACTGCAATGAGTCACTAACAGTGAGATCAAAATTTAAGCTCACATAGCCTCCTACTAAGATAATGTGTTTAAAATTTACAAGTCTCATTTCTCACCAGTTTGCTATTTGTATGGACTGTGGCCTAAGGCAGCACACATGTGGACTATTTCCTGCAATTTAACACAAAAAGGACTCACTGCGCATGCGTTCACCACCTACTACGCCCCCCACCCCAAGGCACGGCGCTGTCCCTGCAGCGTGCAGTACTCACAACCACCACACACACGGTGTGTCTCAGTAAGCTCTCCCTGAGGACAAAGCTGAGGTTTCGTGAGCTAAGAAACTTGTCCAAGGACACGCAGCTGGGATGTGGCTGACCCAACCTTAAAATCCAATGTTTAAGGAACAAACGCCCCCATGTCTGATTAGGAAGCCTGCACCCTCTGTATGCTGCCCCCTGCTGACAGGCAGAGGAGGGGACAGGCGGGGGGGGGGCACATGGGGGCCTCTTTTGCTGCTGCTCCTGGCAACACGTGCAGTTTGCGGAGGTCAGGTGAGTAGGAGCATACACATGCGAGATGGCAAGTTGGGCAGAAGCAAGTGTTATAGGAAGGACATGCAGGGGCATCCGGCCTCTGGGACAATGATCAGCAACCAGGGGGTGAGCTTTACTGCCCACCCCCTTCCCTGGGAGATGTGGTGACATCTAGAGACATTTTCGGTTGTCACAACTAAAGGGGTACTACTAGCAACCAGTGGGAAGATGCTAGGGATGCTGCTACAGATCCCTCAGTGCACAGACTGCCCCTCACAACAAAGTACTATTCAATCCCAAATGTCCTTAGCTCAAAATACCTGCCCTAGGGCCTTGGCGTGCCCTAACCACCCCAGCACCCCCTACCTCCACCCATCCTTTGCACCCTGCAGGCCAGTGAGGGCCCCAGAGCAAAAGCTGAAATAGGGTGAAATAAGGTGGTGAGGCTCTCTCAGGGGGTCCCAGGGGCCAGGTGCTAGAGTTTCCATTGGTTCCACCTAAATTTTAAAAAGGGGCTGAGAACTAGAGTCTTCCTGCAGGACTAGGAGGAAAATGAAGTGGTGTGGCGCATGTGTGCCCACGAGAAACATGTGACCCATGTGAGTTTCAAAGGTCACAGCTCCGGAGGGACTCCACAAAGCACAGGGCCGACTGAGAAAAGTCTCTCATGTCCTCGAATACTCAGTCAAGTACTTAAGAAAAACCCCACGTATCCATAACTTGTACACCCACATATACATAAGGGGAAGGAAATGCCACGCTCCCAGGTGAAGTACGTATATTTTTCCCATTGTTCTGTAAAATTGTCAAGACTTCAAAAAACATTAAAGAGCAGCAGACTGCCACAATCTGCCATCTATTTTATGTCCTGTCTCTCTGAAGGGACTAAGCCCCAGAGCTCTCAGTCCCTCTGAAGTTTTGAAAGTCATCTAGAATAAACACAATTGTGCCCAAGCACCTTAAAAGAGGCTGTAAAATTATGCCTTTAAGTAAATACCAGAGGCTTTTCTGAACTGGGTGTGTTTAAAATTTATTATAGGAAACAGTATTTCTTACCAACTTTTGATCCACGATCTGCATAATTTTTCCACTTGGAACAAAAGCATTTACTACATCCTTCAGTGAGTTCACGATAATCTTTAGCTGTAAAATTAATTAACTAATTAATAAGAAATATAAAGCAGTACTGACATTTAAGATTAATACTGGTATAATGAAAACGGATATGGACCTTTTGATTTACTCATATGTAGCGAAATAAAATAGAGTGATGTTGGAAAATATTTCCAGTTACGTATAAACACAACCCATCTTTAACATGACATGTGATCAACCACTCAGATGAAGGCAGATGAGACAGAGAGAAAGAAGCAAAGGCCAAGGCTGGTAAAAAGAGCAAGAAGCGACAGACGAGGAACAGCATCTTTTCCTCTGCTATCGTTCACTGCAAATGGCAGCAATGAATCCAAAGCTCATTCTTAAACTCCTTGGTGTGTAATTTCGTGTGTATGTGTGATTACAGTCAGTGAAGTCAGAAACAAGAGTTGAGAGTCACAGCTTACCGACGATGCCTTGTCAGTGAGCAAATCGTGCCATCTCTTGTAGGGCGGTAAGTCGAGATTTATGGTGTACCACGGGACCGGCCCCCGGTAGCTGTAATGAGAGGCGTAGCATCTTGAAATATTAAAAGCAGTTTTAATGGGTGTTAGGTAGTTATATCTACATGGACATGTTAAAGATATATTCCTTTTTTTAAATTTAATCTTTATTTTTTTCAGTTACCACTTAGTCCCCATGTATGAGATATATTCTTAGTAACAATATAGAAGTCAGTCTTCAAATGAAAACTTGCAAACGCTTGTTCTCGAGTGCTTCTGTCCTACGTTGTATATGATTGTAAGTCGTTTCAGACTGAAGCGTTAATGTGAACTGGTGATATGCAAAAAAATCAATTTTGGTTGCAGGGTTACATGTAACTGGAACATCACTGCTAGAAAATACCTGTCCCCCCTTTTTTCCCCTCCTAAATCTCTGCAAAAGTTTAGTCTAAGCTTGGGAACTTCAATAACTGGTTTCCCAGTCAGAAGTTCCTCTCAGACAGTCTGGCACTAGTGCCAGATCACTGCTGCCTTTAGTAAGGTCATCCTTGAAGACCCCAAAGTGGCACCACGGGTCAGCTTCCCACGAGCTCAGCCACCTTACTCTCCCTGCTATGTTTCCCCGTTCTCATTCTTCTGTCGGAAATCCAAGGCCAAGCACTGTGGGACCACACCCATCCCCCAGCTTCCCACTCATCAACGTACACAGAGCAATTTCTGCTGCATCTACAGCAATGTCCACGCCCTTTCGTTATTAAATGGACCTGGGCCATAGTTCTCTCTGGTGGATGAACTCTATATCTATTCTGTTGCTAAGGAAGTGCTATCTTCTGGCAATTGTTGCTACACTCAAATAGCCCCTGAGGGTGTGCCATTCAGTGATGTATCAGCTCAAAACTATGCCTAAGATACAGAGAACAGACTGACAGCTGTCAGAGGTGAGGAGTACCAGGTAAAAAAAGTGACAGAACGAAGCAAAAAACAAACCCAATACAACCCTCATAGACAGACAACAGTACAGCGATTACCAGCTGAAAAGGGGGGTGCGGGAGGTAGGAGAGGGGATAGGGAGATAACTAGAAGGAGATTAGACTTGGGGTGGTGAACACACAATACAATATGTAGATCATGTATTGTGCATCGGAAACTTAGATGATTTTATCAACCAGTGTCACCCCAGTAAGTTTTTAAAACAACGACACCAAAGCAGCCAGCATTTGCCCCGCCGTCACTCTGCTGCAGAAAAGCGCAGGCTGTGCCCCAGCACGTGCAGTGTCACGGGGCTGTCAGATTCAAGTGGGACCCACACCTGGGTCTATAGCAGAGATGGGTTTATTCCTAACAGTCATGAGCTGTGGTCCCATTTACAGTTCTATTGCCATGAATAACTATTTGTTTCTCTAAATAATGCTGCTGAGCTTGGAGCCTGGGTATATGTATGTGGCTTTATGAGACTGCTAACCAGCGGCCACCAGTGTTGTGATGCAGGTGGAAAAGAAAAGCACACTTGACTCTGGACACACGTTTAAACCGAATTGCAGTGGATAAATTCTGCGCTTTTGAAAGCATTTTCAAAATGCCACTTCCTTAATAGCTGACATCTATATTAAACACTATCCTTCTTAATTCCTAGGGGGGGAAAGCTTTGTATAAAGACAAATAAATTCCATGTCTGGCTGATCATAACTTCACGTGCAAATTTTTGCTGCACAATTCAATAATTATTTTCATCCTATTACAGGCAGGTGCTTCCAACCTGTTCCCCGCGCCCCTCGCCCGGCCCCTGGTGTGCACCGGTATCTCCGGGTCAAACAGCAAGGAGAAAGCAGAGGTCCCTGGTGCCCTGCGCACCCGTGGCTCGGTCAACAAGGCACGTGTTCTGCCTAAGAACTGCAGGCAGCTGGTCCCTGGTAACAGCCAATAAAATCCAAACCACTCCCCTACGGCTGCCCTAAACTCCTCACTTGCTTTCGGCGCAGACTCCTGGTCAGGCTCCACCATAACTGCGAAGAAGAAATGGAAAGGAAACAAACTCATTCCAGTGGAGAATTAAATGAAGTGGGGAGATGGGGGACCCCAGAAACCTCTACAACCACAGCTCCGTTAACCAGAATTCTTGGTAAGAACTGTTCAAATGATTAACAACATTATTTTAATAACTAAAGCTTAGCCATAAACCCCCATTTTACTTCTCTTTAAGTATTTTTCTAAAGTGTCTCAGTATTGAATGGCACCCGCCTTTCCTAGAGAAAACAAGAGTATCTGTTTTGGGAAGACAAGGAGGATTTCATGAACTATGCGGAGCATACTTAGCATCAGTATTCAATCAGCGGTGGGATATTTTTCTACTTCACCACAAACAACACGTGTTAAATGATCTTGGAGACAGCATCTGCTGTGCCCAGGTCATAATCAATATCAAGCATTGACTGAACCCACCTGGCGCCCCAGGTGGCTTGGCACCTAGTCCAAGCCCAATGAGCAGCGCAGGAGAAATGCTAATGGACTGCGGATGGATTCAGGGGCGCTTGGGCTGTCGGGCCTTGACCTCTAGCACTGAAATGACTGCTCAGGCAGGATAAACAGGTGCTTTCTCTCCTCCCTCACAGTTACCCACACATCTCTCCAAAATCTACGCACTGGAGTGAAAAAGATGCCCCGAAAGGGACGGGAGGATGTGTCATCCTTGAGATCTCTGCCAGATCTCAAGGTCCATGGATAGTTCAGAGGAGAGAACGATCAGAGTGGAGCTGAGGTTTTCCGTGGTGGGAACTGCCTAGCGAGGTAGGAAGGCGTCCCGCTGAAACACCAGGCCAAAACAGTCCCATTGTGCTGCTGTATACATATAAGAAAATGGTGTTTATTTGTATATGTGTGTCATACAAGTGTGCACACACACACACGCGGCAACTTGGAAGCACTTAAAAGCAGGGAAGGTTTGCGGAGCGATCAGTTCGCAGACACGTATAAGGGGTGCAGGAAACGGAGCAGAAGCAGGGCCTCGAATGTGGAACATACTCATTCAGTGTTCCATGAACTGGGGCAGTGAGACCAGCCAAGTTCAGGGCGCAGTCAGTAGGGCACGACTGCTACTGTGTTGGTTAGTGGTGACAGAAAGGGGCCGGGCGCTGGCTTTGGGAAAACACAGAAACCAATTACATCTAACTTACTTTCTGCCAAATATTGGCCTCTTTCTGCAGAAAGGTGAGTAAATCAAAAGAATTTAGTTTGCCAGTTTCTTTGTATCTGGAACAGAGGCTCTCTAGGATGCATCATTTAGACAAGTGCAGCACAAAATAGATTAGAGCGCTACAAAAACTGAAGAGACATCTTGATACCCCTGGTTCCAGTTCTTCTCTGCCTCCCCAGCTGGCTGCTTTCCTGCAGAAGGAAGAGCAGGCCAAACAAGATTCTCCTGCCTTATCCCTTCCCTCCTTTCCCACACCCTGGTACCCTCTGGGCAGGTGAGCTGTTCTCACATCTTCCTCAGAGACATGTAGCTACAAAGGATCAGAAAAGGCCATGCCTGTAACTAGACTAAAATTATCAACGTTTAATATACTAAACCACAATACCGGCCCCTCCCCATGTCCTCCAGTCCTGTTTGCCCCTTGAGAGATTCTGATTATCATACTAGATTTATTTCTTAAATGTTTCACATGTAAGATCCTATGCTTTTTTGTCCCAGTAAAATCTGGTTGTTAATACTCTGGAACCACAGAACATCACAATTAGGCTCTGAGTTTCTCAGGATGAGTAAAACGTCTAGCGGTAGACAGGAGAATTTAGTGGAGGTTGGGAATCTTTTTCCCCCCTATGATTCTGATAGGCTAGAAATGGATGTAGTAATCATGAAGTATTTTCACATTTGTCCAGCGTCTTAGTCAAATACATAATACACAAACCTGAGAAAAAATTTTTTTTGCCTTTCTTAGAGGACACGACTTAAATTTTTATTCACTCCCATTATTTTTCTGAGATCACTGCATAGGAAAATGTGAGTTTTGATCATCTGATATTTACTCACGTTGGTCCAGAAGGAGGGTAAGTTGATTTTCTGCAGTCTTCTGTCCACTAAAAAAAAAAGAAAAAAAATTTTAAGTTTCAGAAAATAACAAATCGAATAGGCAATTTGCAAACATGGTTAAAGCTTGTAAAGACAAAATCAAGAATGACTGCTCTTTTGGACCATTTCAATACCTCTTAAAAGTCTTTTCCTCCTATAAAAACTACTAAAAATCTCAAACTTAAGTGCATTTTCTGTCTCAACTGAATTTACACTAGTGCCATGTATGGCGATTTGGCTTTTATATTGCAAATGTATCAAATAAAGAGGAAGCATAAGTAGATGGAAAATTTATGTCACATAGGTTGGTTTAACACTACATTACCTGATAGGATGTAATGTTACTTGAACTTATGAGCCAGCTCTACTGCGATAGAGATCTGCATCGCGAAGCAGATTTGCAGGGCACACTGTCCAGGGCCCGTCACAGTCTGGCCCTAATTCACAGCCCCGCCCCCTGTTAAGCAGAGCCCTGCGTTAACTCATGTTAACTTTTAACAGCATGGGAGGGGTGTAAAGCAGCCTGACACTCCCCATGATTGAAACGTTCTTTGTGGTGAAAAGAACTTCACTACAGTGCAACTGAGGTTCTGGTACAAGTGCTGTTTTGCCTTGTAACGTTAGGTAGATTTCAGTAGGAAACAGTATCAGGTATCAAATGATCAAAAGCTAATTCAATCGTCAGAATTTAAATTCTATTTCCAAATTATTACAATATAAAAATAATAGCTTTTAAATGTCAATTTGATAATCCAGGATCAACTTAGCAAAAGCTGATTTTCAATGTTCAATGATAGTGGCTGAAGGAGGTTCTTGTTTAGAAACTTTTCAGTCTCAGCCCTGAGTTTAGAACTCACAGTGAAGTTTTCCTGCTGCCTACCTCCCTAACTGCCGTGGGGTAGGAAGAGTCAGCATCTATTTCTTACACAAATTCCCAGAAATGATGGTGGTTAAGGCTACAAGAGCAAAAGAAGTTCATGGTTGGCATTACTCATTCAATCACATGTAAGAGATTCAAGAATTTCCCATAAAGTGTTTGCCAATTGATAATGTAATTAATAACCACAATCTTTAGGTGCCATTTTCACAAATTCTGTACATTTGTCCAACTACGCCTTTTTCTGCTCCACACACACGAGGTCTGTCCAGAAGGTATCCAGCCATGTAATATGAAAAATAGAGATATTTACTGAAGATACAAAATACAAGAAACACTGTACACAGGACAGTGACACCTTAGTCCCCTTCAAAGTAGGCACCTTGGGACCTAACACAGTTCTCCCAAATGCCATTACCTGCTCCATCATATTTTCCTGAATCTCACTGATGGTCTAAAATCTCTTCCCTTTCAAAGGTGATTTTGGTTTTGGGAAAAGCCAGAAGTTGCAGGACGCCAAATCTGGGCTGTAGGGTGGCTGAGTCACTTGGTTGATTTGATGTTTTGCCAAAAAACTCTGCTGGGGATGTGATTAATGAGCAGGTACACTGTTGTGATGAAGCTGCCACTCACCAGATGCCCAGAGCTGAGGCCTTCTGAATCATAAATAGTTTCCATGGAGGAATGTTCAAGCTTAATGTAAAATCTGATGCAGGTTCATTGCTCTACTCACTCAGTCATTTTGAACGTGACAGGCACATGCTCACTCACGCATGTGTCCACCACCCCCACTGACTAGTACAGTGAAGTCGTCATCGTTCACACACGTGCATTCCAGTCCACTCTCCTTGGCTGCCAGGTTACATCGATGTCATGTAAACCGTTCTCATTATGTTAACAATGGTTGGACTTTTTCCAGACAGACCTCGTATTTTTTCCACTGTCAATTATTACACATCACAGCAGATTCCTCTTTAGGTCTGAACGGAATGACTAGATTCTCAGCTTCTTTGAACATGTCCTGCCTGTAGTTGTTTCAGATAGAATACTCGTAGGGAGACCCACTCTTCAGTCTGAAACTTGGCATCGATGCCCTAGTAAGTACAATATCAATAACTGATCAGTATCAGTAACTTCAAGAGCCAAGGAAAAACAGCTAGGAATCTTTTGCCTTGTTCTTCCATTAATATTGATGATGTTGCCAAAGTCCTGGACTGGTTGTGTGAATCGAATTTTCTCAGGACACATTACTTAGATTACTGCCATCACGTGTGATTTCGGTCACAATTGGTAAATGGCTTTCCTTGCTTCACTAACCGATGAGCTACCTGGAGACTTACTTTGGTTGTAGCTTCATTACACTCTTTAAAATTTGTAAATAAATTCTGCTGTGATGAGATACTCTGCTTTGAATTTTCTTATTTTTCTGATAACTTGATTTTCCTCCTCTGACTTGGGAATATTGTGAGAACTGGTTAATCCTGTAATGTTACATACAGTGTATCTTTTATCACAACTCTAGTGTCGCTGCATAATGAACACGAGGCTTTGCCATCTCACTGAGTAATGAGATAATCCATGCTCCACTTCGCCTCAAGAGAACAATTTTTTCACTTCTTTTTTTGTGCTCAATGATACTTTGCTATGGTCATTTTTTATTTTACTACTATATTTTATTTATTTTTTAAGCCTCACCCCCCAAGAATATGTTTATTGATTTTAGAAAAAGAGAAATTGTGGGGGGAGGGGAAGAGACAGAGAGAGAAACACTCATCAGTTGCCTCATGTACGTGCCCTGACCGGGGATCAAACCAGTGACCTTTTGGTGTACAGGACGACACTTCAATCAACTGGCCCACCCGGCCAGGGCTGGCCATTGTTTTTAAAGGTTAGAATCACAGGCTACCCAGCTACAGGTGGCACTTAAAATGCTGTTGAGTTTCAGCTGCCGGGCTGTCACTTCAGTGCCCGGGCAGCAGGGAAAGGTCAGGAGCACACCACACGTGGGCTTTGCTACGGCAATAAGCCAACCAACGAGTGTGTCTGTGTCCCCAAGCAACGCTGTTTATGGAGACTGGCATGTGACGTTCAGGTCATTTTTACGTGTCACCAAGCACTCATTTCCTTTTGATCACCCCAACTTTTTAAGAATGTAGGAACCATCCTTAGCCCACAGGCCTCCCCAGAACAGCTGACAGGTGGGTCTGGCTTGCGGCTGCGATCGGCCACCTGCTCTGGGTGTCAGCACCTGCAGACACTGCCCTGGGTCCTGCCAGACCACTTACTCAGTCTCCAGAGGAAACCCCTTTGAGGTGGTGTGCACTGCATGTACCAATCGTGCCACATACAGTTCTGTCTGCGGAGGCTGGGAGTTCTGTTTACTGGCCCCTCCCCCAACTTTCCCTTCATCCTCATTTATTACACTTACCCTCCAAAATAACAGACCGTGAGGACGAAAGAAAACACCCTGGAACTACGGGGGGAATCTGTAGTACTGGGAAAGCATGGTCCAAATAAAAAGAAAACAGAGCCAGGAGGATAGGGAGTGAGGAGGTTTCGAGAAGAATGGACAGAATAAATAGCGAGAGAGTAAGTTGGAAGCAGAAACAAAACAAAACAAAACCCAGGATACAGTGATAAAGGCATACGCTTGGCTTCTTCCGCTGAGAAGAAAAAAAGAGGAAGCAATTAGAAATTCCCAGGAAAACAATCTGTATCAGAAAGTCATGATATAAATATGAAGCAAACTGGACTGTGGTATTCACGTGAGCATTCGGTAGAGAATGCATTTGAATATTCTTTCAGTGCCATTAGAGTTTTGGCTTTGGCATTCCAGGAAAGGAAATGTAAGCATAGTATACTGAGCAATGATCGATATTCACAAATCTTCCAGGTACAATCATGTTATCGATGTTTAGTAAGCAAGAATAAAGATATGTACAGTGGAAGGAAAAAAAAGGAGAAAAAAGTTAGAGGGAACTTTACCTTTTTTTACGTCCTTGTCTACTTGTACCACTTCAGATAACCCTCTGATTAGCCCCTGAATGGCTGAGGAAAGACAGACCATGCATCCAGACCAGTGGTCAGGTAGCGGATGACCCTCTCAGACCCATCCAGACTGAAGGACTGACTCTTCTGAAGAAGGTACATATCACAAGAGCTCTAACCTTCTCTGTCTTCTTTGGAAGACTCTTGGTATGTATGGCCTCGTGTTGAGGGTTTGCAAACCCTAAGACCCATGCATAAATCTTCATCATTTATTTCTACCTAAAGCCTCCAGGCTCCTCATCAGTTCATCTAACATGAGTTATGGGAAACTTTAGGCCTAGTCATGTTCTGAAGGCAAGGCTCAGCTCCATTAGAGATCAGAAGGTCATGCAGCTGGTAAGAGAAAAGAACAGGGGACCCAGCTTTCCTGCCGTCCCACAGCTGCCCACAGGTAACAATGGAACGGGCACCTCCATTTAATCCCAGATCGGCCACAACCTGTACTTGCTTCAGGGTTTGAATGACCACTTGGAATCCACTCAGGAAATAAATAAAATGTAATGATGTTCATCTCTCCTGAACGGTTATATTTGCACAACCTGGGTTCCAAAGCCAATATTAAAATCAAACTTCATGGCTTATCCCTGATGAGACCACTGTGAGGAGTTAAACGCTCTCTGTCCAGTCTCAGGACAGAATGCAGCCTGCCCCCGGGGTGAGGGAGTGTCCGGGGTCTGGGGGCAGGAAGATGTTGTACTACGATCATCCCGGCAGCAGTGAACATAAACTTGTAACACAGACATGAACTCTGCATAGAAGTTGGCTGTGAGAGTAAAAGGCAAAAAAGGCATTTTTAACAGGTGAGCCTTGGGGGTAAAGTGGAGACGGCTACATCCTTCCCTAAAAAGGAGACTTCTACCAGGAAAGGTAGCTTCAAAATCTATGTATAGACTTAAATAGAGTTACGATGAGCTCACCTATTATTTCAAGTTTCTTACTGTCTCCAAATTTAACTACACATGGATTTAATAACAGACAACCTTATCAAGGTAAGTACAAATTAAAAGAGATGGGAGGTAGAGATTATAGGTTAGGGATATTACGTAGTCTGCTTGGTATATTAGAGGAAATATACACAACCCACTTAAAATCTCAGTTTCTCTCACATACCCTTTCTCATTTTTGCTTCTTAAGGCCAGAGGAAGTACTGAAAAATCTCTGTAAGACATTTTGTGAACACTTTCTGGGTTAGTGAATTCTCTGATTATTCTGGTTATTTGTTAGGAACTGGAACCTCCTTGAAATTCAATAATCTTTATGTGCTCCCCACTCATTAAGCAAAACTAATTATAAAGCTACTGGAGATACTGCATTTAGAAAAACAATATATAAATTATAATTTTCCCATTAGTGACTTAAATGCTCCACATTAAAAGAAATGATGTAACTTGTGCAACTCCTTAAAACACTGGAGTCCTGGAGAACTAGTGAGAACCTCACTGAAAAGGCTGCACAAAAGGTACAGAAAGCCCTCATGCTCTTGTCTTATTCACATACTCAGAAAAAGACAATAAAAGGTAATTTAAGGAAATTATACAGCTCACACCAGTGTTCGTGCCATCAGAAAAGAAGTTGAACGATCCCAGAAAGGCAATTTTAATTCAATTCTTTAACTTGACAGCTATGTTCTAAGATTTTTCTTAAAATGTTCTCTGCATACAACAGCAGACACACACCTACTGAATGAGAAAAGGCATGTTTCCTGCATATATAATAAATTCAAATGAGCATGCAAAGTTTTTCACTTGCATTCTGACTTTTGATGGGATTACAATTACACTGGGGATATGACACCCAATTACACTGGGGATATTTAGGTAAAAGAAATGTGAACAAACCCTCCATGAGGGCAGGCACCTTTCCTCTCGCTCATCGACCTGCTTCCTGAGTCTCAAACAGAGGCTGGCACACAGTGGGCACTCAATATCTGCTGAGTCAGAAACAGATCACACCTGTGTGTCCCTTCCTTTGCAGGGACACAATAAACTGTCCCTACAGAGAAGGACACTTGTCCCTTCTTCCCTATGGAGAAGCAGATGCACTTACAATAAAACTGGCCAGGCCAGGTGGGGTTTACGTGATTTCTGGGAGCTTGGTGGAAATTATTGCTAAAACCTAATTCAGTAAGCTTGTGTCAAGGGTGCTACTACTCACATGAGAAGCTGATGCATGAAAATAAGTTTAACCCGGCAGTTAATTACTGAGCCGTCATGTTTCTTTTTCATGAACTTTAGGAATCCGCTCAGATTTATCAACCAGAAGAGTCATCTCCCCGACGCCGATTCCTTGCCTTCTGATAGCTCCTTATCCTGCGGCACCTGTTAGCGGCTTCCAGCCCTGCACCGGCCGAGGTGGCCAGTGACCTCCAGCTGCCAAGCACCACAGACATCTCAACGGCACTCAGCACACCTAACCCGCCCCACACTCTCTGAGCTTCCACAGCACTCGCTCTTCCATTCTGGCCGTGTCGCTCTAACTCGGTCAGTTCTTCCCCACCTGACACTTGCATGTGCAGGTCCCTTGGCCTTTGCCTCGGCCTCATCTCTCCTCTTTCTATATCCTCTCTCCACTCGATGTTCACTTGCTCCAATGGATCCAAGTAAGATGCCTGTGACCCCCCCATACCTCCCTCCTGGGCTCCAGTCCAAAAGGTCTGCTGGGTAGCTCGTTGCCACCGGGAGTTCAGTATAACCAGAATGAAAATGATCTTTCCTCCACCCCCAAACATTGGCCTGCCATGTTCCCTGATAGTGATGCCACCGTTCACCCAGCTGAGCACCTCAGCGAGGGGCCTGTCCCTCCTGCCATCCAGCCCTTCCTTCTTCTGCTCATTCTGCCCCCTCATCTTCTCTCTGGACATCCACTTCTCTCTTTCTCCACCGCCAACACCCTCCCGAGAGTCACCCGCTTCCTCCCCTGGACTAGTCTCCTCACATCCGCCCTTGCTCCGTCCCAGTCCAAAGTGTTCTTGTTAAAGTGAAAATTTTATTGCGTCATATCTTGTTTAAAACTATCCAATGACTTCCCACGGTTTTTAGGATAGATTCCAAAGTCATGAACAAGGTCTAAGAGCCCTCTCCTGATACTTCCACGTCACCCTCGGGGGCGCCTCCACTCTTAATGGGTCTCCTAATGGAATCAACAGTAAAGAATGACTCAGGAAGACCTTAAAATATGCTGTAGTCTGAAAAGCCTCAAGAACAAGAAGAAACAAAGCCCACCGACGTTCCGAGTCAAATGATTTTTTGTTTGTGACTTGAAGTGGGTCCTCATTATTCACATGCGTCAGAAGCAGTTTTGAAGTTTCTTTTGTCCCTATGTGGTTCCCAGCAGTTTATCATGTAAAATGATTCAAAGTTAAATACTGCATACTCTTATCAGAGAATGAGGTCATGACACTTCTGTGAGCTTTCAGCGGGAGGCTCCCAGAATTTTCCGATCAGTAAAAAAGAAGGAACAGGGGACTCCCCGTGTGCAGGAGAGCCCCGCACCCGGGCTCCGAATCTTTACGCTCCCAGGAGGGGATGTGGAACCAAACAAAGCCAAACCCCACACACATAACAGAAAGAACGTTTTAACAATAAAAAATTGAAGGCCGTAAAATCAGAGTAATAGCTAACATTCTGATTTAATCATTTTAACTTCATGCCCTTGTTTTTTCTCATTTCATTAGAGACTTAGGAAAGCAGCTTCCCAAACTGACCCCAGTAGCAGGACTAGATTTCACAACCACTGTGGCAGGTAAGAACAGTTAAATTCGTGAAGACTTTTGCGTCTTCTTGTTTTAGAAAGAGCCTTTGAAATACTCTTTCTTGAAATAGTAAAGTGTGTGTGTGTGGGGGGGAAGCAGCCCCTGACACCTGAAACTTGTCTGAAGTTCACAACTAGACCTCATCACAAGCTGGTCAGACACACAGGGCCAGGCTGCAGCTGTTCTCGAACTGGACAAAACCAACCTCACGGTATCCCCACCTCAGTGCAGCTTCCCCGGGGACAAGATAAAAGCAGGGCCACTCACGATTCTGTCTCAGTGCAGATGAAAACAAGAGTACTAACTATGCAACCCACAAAATACCAAACACCCCTTCTCTTGCTAAATGGCTGTTTCTTCTTTACCCAATCCTGGAATTGCCCCACTTCCTAAAAGCATTCAATGTACAGTGACCCATGATCCCTAGACCTATTTCCAAATCACACAACCAAATTGCAAATGATAAAACAGGTTTTTTTCTACTTTGTACTGAACGGTCCCACGGTTGCCTAAAGTGGGCTCTCCCTCACCACAAAGAGTAATCCTTTGTCCAACTACAGCTGTATTTCCTGGGGGGGGGGGGGCGAAGGTCATGGACAGTGTCAAAGTAACAAATCCCTTAAAAACTCATGTAATTCCAACCACTGCAAAGCAAATTAATTCCTTATTCACACTAAAGCATACTAATTTTAGTTCCCTTTATGCTCTTCCAATCCTTTTCTTTAGGTGCATTTGCCTGTGACTGAAATCACTGTACACAGTATTTTGTATTCTGCTTTTACTTAACATAATTTTTAATGGCTGAATAATATTCCATGACTTTATTCGTAAAACATTTCTCCTTAGAGAAATAAAAGAGTAAGACACACACTGTGCTCCTACCCATCAGTATCCCAGCTAAGCTATTCAAGATCACCTTCGTCTAGTCTCGGGTCAGAGGCACCTAGGTCCTCTTTATCTGATCAACTGACAGAGAAAAATGATGCTTTGAAAGAAGAGACTTATGAAGGCGCATCAGCCTGGGCGTCAAGAGGCTTGAGTTTAGCCTGCTTCAGCAGACAAAAGTGTGACCTCTGGCTAGACATTCTGTCACTCATCCACTTCCTCCTCTGTAAAATGAGAGTCAGGCCGGTGCCTCGCTGCCTCTTGCAGTCGTCTGTATTCCTGGGACTTCCTATCGGGGAAAGAGCCACGGGACGGGCGTTCACATGGCTGGGGTGTGGGTGCAGCAGCCACATGGGGCCTGCCTGGGCTGCTCCCATGTCCCCGACTGGGGGACGCCTGGGCCCTCCCCAGCGCGCTCAGGATCCAGAGCTGCAACTTCTTCAGCAGCTCGTCATCGAGCAGAGAATGCCAAAGTCATCGAGCAGTCCTTCGCTTAACCGAGTTGTGTACACAAGTCGACTGGAACTTTTCCTCTCAGCAGTTCAGAATGCATAAGCCCGGAACTGGTAGAACTAGCGCAAACCCTGAAATTTTAGGGTGTGTAAATCACAACCACCATTCTGCTGAGATCAGGAGTTCCCTAAAAGGTTCCAGCTCTGCCAAAGTAATTCCGCGTGAAGTTTACACCCCCGCCCCGCCCCCTGAGCGCAGAAAACCGAGGACACCTGTAAAGATGCTGCCCCACCAGGTGTTCCTAACGCCCCGCCCTCCATGCCACGCCCCCACCCGCGGCCCCCCAACCCTCGCCGTCTGCACGAGCTCACCCACCGGGGGCGCGTGCTGCGCCACGGCGCAGGTGACGGCCACGGTCAGAAAGACGAAGGTTAGGCTACTCCGGCCCAGCATCTTTCCGCCCGCCAAAGCCGCTCCGAAATGCTGGCTGAGGCCAAGAAAAGCACCTCCAGGGCTCGGAGTAGGCCGCGCCCCGCCTCCACGTGACCTACCACCCGGGCTGCACCACTCGAGGTGGGTAGCTGGGTAGGGAGCAGAGGAGACGGGCGGGAAGGACAGGATGGGGCTTTTCGGTGTCGCGGACAGGGCGACAAGAGCTGGGAGGCTTTCCGCGTGGAGCAGGGACCCGAGGGCATTTGCCAGCGCTCGCGCTAGGACGGTGCTCTTGGTCGGACACCCCTCCACGCGGGCAGTGGTTGGGTCGAGCCGGAGCCCCGCCCCGACCGCCGCGTCTTCCCCGGGTATTGCGCCGGGAAACTGTGCGCGGTCCTCGCAGGCTAAGGGTGGAAACAATCTGGGGTCCCCACCGCGGATGACACGAAGGAGGGAGTCCCGTTTCTCTCCGGGCCCATGCCACCAGTGCAGCGTCCCTGAATGGCCCAGGGTGAGGTCTGCACTCAGTCCACTCGGTGTTAATTGCCCACGACACGGACCCAAGTCACGAGTCTTAAAACGCTACCCGACCCGCCTCTGCCCTTTGAGGAGGGCAAGCCCGAAGTGAGTGAGGTTATTCATCCTGACCCTGGGGTCACTGGGCAGGCTCAGGTGTCAAGGGGCGGGAGGGGGTACCCCAGGGAGATCCCAGACTGAGTAACTCAGTTAGGCTTCCACAGCGGAGTGACAAGCCACCGAATTTTGGCTTCAGTTACTGAGAACCGCGAACCTTCCTGATGTATTGCGCCATGCAGCGGCTGTGCGTTCTGCGCTGTGCTAAACCCGGGAGGGGGTAGCCTGCACCTGAAAAGCGGGCGGATTTGCATGTGTATTTGTTTGGTGTCCGTGCCTTCGGTGGACGCTATCACCCTCGTAGGATGAGTTACTAATAAGCCCAACAGGAAGGCCTCTCTGGGCTCCAGTTTCTGATTGAGTCTTTGACATTTCAGCTGTCATTCTTTGTTTCTGTAAAACTCAGAATGCAATTACTAACATCTTCACATAGTTATTTTTGTCTTGCGCGTGTGAGTATGTGAAATTGCAATTTTACCCATTTGTATTACTTCCTTTTTTGTTGGAGATTTGGAAATGAGTATTTGATGTTTCAAGGGTTTTTTCTCCCTAGATGTTTGTTTTGCGGGGGTTGCTAGATGAGTGTTTCTCTTTGAGGAGGAAGTTCCTCCCTTATGATTTCGATCCGGACGAGAAATGAACAAAAGCATCATACGTAAGAAAACTTATGTTGGATGTTAGAAGGTGATACGTATCAGAAAAAGAGTAAGGGAGGTCAAGAGTGGGGAGGGTTGCCACATTAAATAAGATGGATGGCACTGGCGTTATCGCCAGTGATGTTTGAGCAGAGATTTGAAGGAGGTGAGAGAAGTAGCTTTGTGGTTGCCTAGGGAAGAGTATTCCAGGCAGATGAAGTAGCTGGTATATGAAGGTTCACATGTGAGAATGAGCCTGGTGTGTTCTGCAGGAAGTCAGTGTGGGTGCAGCAGGAGGAAGAAGGGGAAAGAAGTAGGTAAGTATGAGAGATAAGTGGGGTAGGGCAGATTGTATCTGCCACTAGGAGTCATTGTAAAGCCTCTGGCTCTGTTCTAGGCAAATGTGTAATGTGTAAATAGGTTGGATTACCTTGGACCTAGAGTACTCCCATCTTTTCGTGTATAAATGGCTATTTGGATCAAAGATCATTCACCTTAAGTACTGCTGAAGGCACTTTGAACATGTCACCAAACACATTTTTTGTTCCGTATGAGAGGATATTAATGGGTGGTTAAGTGGTGTGGCCACATCAGGTTCTTTAGGCAGAAAACATATTAATTATCATGGTATTCTTAGACACAATTTTCTTATAACTTTGCATTTAAGTTTCAAAGACCTTTTCTATGCTATTGATTCCATTTCAGGCAAACTAAGAATTGAATCTACTTCCCTAAAATTATACCATTTTATGCATGTTTTTTCTTACACGTACATCCTTTTTTTTTTTTAACCTACTCCATTCTTTAATACCAGCCATGTACAGAGAGCCAAGGCAAAGCGTGTGGCCATAGGAAACCTTGCCATGGGTTGAGGCATACTGACATATTAATAGAAAATGGCATTTAAATAGACCAATGAATGGCTGTCAGTGGAAAGGGTGGTTCAGCTCCTACCTTCATAACAAGCATCAAGTATAGGACTTGGATAACCTGTTGAGTATGTAAGAGTCAGCATCAGTAATCAAATTGTTTATCAGAATAGCTGAAGTTCTTGGCAGGCTGTGGACCTTCTCCAGTCCTACCTCGCATTCCGAGGTTCCTGAGGTGGAACCTTGATTTAAAACTATTGCAATCCAACCACCCCACCCTCAATGAACTCTACCACACATACTACTACCACATTACCCAGAACAGGTATAACTTGATTCGTAAAACTGAATATTCAAAAATTTGTATCAGATGTCCCAAAAATATGGAACTGATATTTCTGTTCCAAAAAGAAACATTTACCAGAGTCTTAACCAATGAGCTGTTTTGTTTCAAGAAAAAAGCTTTATTGTATTTAAAATGTAATCTGAGTTTCAAAGCTTAGATTTCTGTCAATCTTTTCAGGAGGATGAAAGATATTAAAAAATGGAAAATGAGAGGTCGTGCAAAACTGTTACACAATCCTTCCTCTCTAGTAGCTTTGTCACACTAAGAAAGAGTACTTGCTTTTGGCTTTACTTTTCTATAGAAAAATATGTTAATTTAAATTATTACCTTCAGCTCAAGATATTCCAGTGTACACCTACAAATTTAGTGCTTACGTTAAACCTCATTGTCTTCCCCATAGAATGTCAAAATAAAATACTTTAACTATCCTTCACTTCTAACTTATCTTTCTCTTTGTGAAATGTTTTTGAACACCTCCAACATGTTAGAGCTTCAAGAGCCTTTTATCCTTTTTCTGTTCTTTGATAGGACATGTGGTTCTGACCTGATTTGTCAATTCAGCTCACATCCAATGATCTCTAAATCTCTTTGTTGTTTTGACTTTATGTTCTTGCATACTTTGATTTTCACATAAACAATTACAGTTACCTATGTAATGCTCCAACCGGTTGCTTCTCCCAAGTTTGTGATGTATTCGTATGGTCTCTCAATCAATTCTGAGGACTTACTCTAGGTGCTGGGTAAACTAGGGCCCGCCTGGCTATCAGTCTCATGGTAGAGGCAAATGAAGATTGGGGGGAAAATGTGAATCAAAAAGTATCTGGGCAACTTCCAGTACATTTAGCCCACTATTGCATACTCTAACCTGTGGTTGGAGATCATAGATGTTTTGCCAACCTCAGTCCCTCTCCATTACAGTCAGCCACCTGATTAGGATGAGCCATATCTTCTCTTTAGTCTCATCTGCAGAGGTAGGCCCTGGTTGGCCTGACCTTTAGGCTACCCTATCCCTTTTGGCCCAGTTCTTGACTTTAGCCTTAGTCATTTGGACGCTTGAATCCAACAGGCCATGGTTTTAAGATCAGGGCTTTCATCCTATGGTTGAGGCTCTTCTAACAGGAAAGAGTGAGCTGGTCCTTCTCCTTGCTTCTGGCATTCGCACTGTAAACCTGAAGGGAACCACCACACTGTGGACAGCGCAGAGGAAAGAAACTGGGTCATCAGGACATTGCTAAGCTGCTAGATCAAACCAATCATGGAGCCTGTCCAACAACTGGACTCATCATTAATGTGAGCCACTACTCTTCTTCATTATTTCAGTGAAGTCAAGTTCGTTTGCTTGCAAGTTGAAATATTGTATCTGAGAGTATGTTGCTAGATTTGCACACTAAAATAGGTATTTCTACCTTTGCAAGAGCAGAGGAGAATTTATGTTAAAGCTCTAACACAAGCGTTAGGACTTTCCTTGCTCAGGCCTCTTCCAAGCCTTCTACCTAATCTTATACTTGCAATTCTTTCTTTTTTTTTTTTTTTTTAAGAGGATCATCCAAATTATATAAGCTTCAGGCCTGGATCTACCATCAGATGTTTTGGGGAGGAAACTTAATACGTTTCTTTTGAATCACTCAATTCCTGTCTCCTTAAGGGGGAGTGACTTACTTAATTGGTAAGTAGCTGGAAGGGTCATGTGTGGGGCCTGGTCTGTCTGGCTCTGTCATTCTGATCTGCCTGCCCACCGTGGTCAGCTCACTGCAGCAAGCAAGCCCTGGATGACAAGAGCATTGGGGGAAGTATTTGCAGCCTTTGGCCACGACTTCCAAAATCAGCACGTCTCCAACAAACTTTTAAAACCTTGTTAACAGGATGGCTACAAAGACTGAAGGAAGCATCCCAAAGGCTGGCGGGAGGAGGTGTGGAGAGAAGGTATCAAAGACCGGAGCCTTCTGGGAGGACTTTCATTTGCTGCCCACCAGTCCAGCCTCACCCAGCCCTCAGTTTATTCCCCTTGACGTTAGAAACTAGCTGTGCTCCTGGGCACCTGTTTGCACCTGTCAAGTGACTGAGTGTCTAAATTCATTCTGGAGGAGGAAGAGTTAGGTTCCCACCTTGGCCTCTATTTCAGTTTGATCAGCAGCCATAAAGCTGTGACCGATCCTCGTCTGATGCCTGTGTATACTTCTCAGTTGTTTCCCAACTCGGAATGGTAGGGACAAGAATTTCCACCCCGAATGACAACGGAAGCCAACAATAGCAATTGCAGTAAGAATATATGTTGGATAAAGTGCTATATGACCAACTAAAAGTACCAAGCAGGTAACTGCTAGGAAAGATATGCATGCAATAAAAATACAAATGTCTGATCTCAGGGAGCTCACAACTGAAAAGAAAAACAGTGTTTGAAATAAAAGCTTTTGAAGCTGACCACAATTCAGACATAATTTATGTGTTCAGTGATATTGGGTTGCACCATATGAAATTGCCTTTTTTGTGGGTTACAAGGTACTTGAATATCAACACTTGCATGGCCAACCTAATGTTACCAACATCCAAAACATCTGCAGCGATCCGACTTGACTGGGAAGCCACTGCCATCACACCGCAGACACCCGCAGA